GATCAACACCTAAGTGTACATATAAGAGTAACACTTATTGGGTGTCAGGAGGGTGGGAGGGGGTAGGAGGGGATGGGCATATACAACCAAACGAGTAAGATGTGCAACGTTTGGGGGATGGACACGCTTGAAGCTCTTACTTGAGGGGGGAGGGTGAGCATGGGCAATATACATAACCTTAACACTTGTACCCCCATAATACGCTAAATTAAAAAAGAAGAAAGAAAGAAAGAAGAAAGAAAGAAAGAAAGAAAGAAAGAAAGAAAGAAAGAAAGAAAGAAAGAGAGAAAGAAAGAAAGAGAGAAAGAAAGAAAGAGAGAAAGAAAGAAAGAAGAAAGAAAAATGCTGTCCAACAGAACTTTCTGCAATGACAAAAATGTTCTATATTTGTGGTAGCCACCAGCCACATGGGAACCAAGGAATTCATTTTTTAAAATCTAATTTTAATTATTTTAAGATTTAAAGCCACCTATGTGACTGAGCCACCATACCATATTGAACAGAACAACTCTAGAATTTAAAAAGATATCAACAAAGAATTAGACAAAATATTATGGCTCTGGTAACACAGAGAGAATGAGTCTCTCAGATTAGATAAAACACTAAAATGGGGAAGTCCATAATAGGAAAAGAATTACACTAAAATTATGCCATTTAATTAAAGACAATTTTAAGAGCAGTTTTATGTTTAGCAAAATTGAGAGGAAGGTACAGAAATATCCCATGTATTCCTGCCCCCTAACATGCATGGCCTCCCCCATTGTCAACATTTCCCACCACAGTGGCACACTTGCTACAATCAGTGAATTTACATGGACACATCATTATCACCCAAAGTCCATAGTTTATATTAGGGTTCACTCATGGTGTGACACATTCTATTGGTTTGAACAAATGTATGACATGTATCCACCATTACAGTTTCACACAGAGTGGTTTCGCTGCCCTAAAAATTCCGTTTTCTTCTTTTATTCATACTTCCATCCTTCTCTCCCTTCTCTGGCAGTCACTGATCTTCATACTGTCTCCATAGTGTTCCAGAATGTTGTGTAGTTGTCATCATTCAGTATGTAGCCTTTTCAGAGTGGCCTCTTCCCTTAGCAAGATGCACTTAAGTTTCCTCTCTGTCTTGTCATGGAACAAGCCTGTATTGAACAAGATATTTTATGTAAGGTATTATGCTGCAATGCTGTAGGAAGGTAAATTATAATTATAACAACCAGGAAAGGTGTTCCAAAATATAATCACATAATTTATTAATGTCACATGCATTTCCTTTGAAATACATTTATATAATTTAAAATAATACTGGTGAAATTTTAGTATTAGTGAAATCTGAGCTTTCTTCTAAAACAGAAATAACTCCAGACAGTGGATTCAGTGGTGACTACATTTTATGGACCACGTTTAATTGAGAATTAACTAATTCAACAATTTCTGGAGCCCTTAGGTGCAGGATATGCTAGGATGAACCATACAGACACAGGGAAGAACAAACCAGGACGAAGAATGGATCTGGGGACATTTGTGTTTCAGGTGTAGAGAGGAGAGAGAGTGAACAGGGAGCGGGGCTTTTGTCTGTTGGTCTCCCTGGACTGAAGAGAGGGAGAGTAGACGCCCAAGACTAAGATTCTCAAAATGGTTTATTACCCAGGAGTCTGTGTCTGGGTCGGTCAAGAACCATTTCCAAACAAGGAAATGGAGGGAAGGCTTCCTCAGGGAAGACTTCCAGTCCCAAAGGAAGTGAACCGCAAGAAGAAGGATGTGACGGCTGCTGCCTCCCTGACCCCACCGGGTGGCAATGAACTCCGCTCCGCGAGCATCAGTTACCTCCACTTTTTTTAATTGTAACACCTCCATTTGTATTACATATGGTGTATGGGTATTGATGAGGTCATGGTATCATATATGGGATTTTTTTCTGTGTAAATCATCAAGTATAAGAAGAAACTATGGGACTCTGAGCCTTGCTTTAGAGAATTTACAGTGGACAAATAGCTATCATCAAACCAGTTTTTAATCATTCTGACTCAAGTGAAAACGCTCAGAATTTCACACTGTGAATCCACGTTTACAACCCTTACAGGTGGGCCTTCAGGCCTGGTTCGCTACGACAAGTCTCCAACAAAACTCCAACTTCCCCACCGCACGCACAACCGGTCCATCCTTGCCTTTCACTCAACAGCCTCCCGACCTGCTTCTTGCAGAGGCTGAAAAGTCCCCCATTTTTTTTCATTTAGATGTAACGAGGCCTAGTAGTTTATGTTCATCAATTGTCTGTATATCCTCATATTTTATCCATGTACTCTTTTGATGTATAGAAGTATTTCAAAACTCTTGTTTCCCTTGTGGTAATTGACCGAGATGCTGCCACAGGACCTGAGACACTGATGAATGGTGCTATTTTGGACTTTCAACATGCTCCTTGGCGAGGTAGCTCTGTCGGAGTTATTTTTTATTTCCATGTTCTAAGAAGGTGTTGGTACTCTGTTTTCCCTGAATATTGTTCTCTAGACTGGATGACTTGTTTTCCTTGTGTCTTCAGTGTGGCTTCTTCCTCAGTGTTTGTAGGTTGAGGTGAATGCTACCAGAGAGTGTGACAAGGCTGTCGTCCCATTGGCTGGCACTCACAGACGTGCAATCACGGGAGCAATCACAAAACTGTAATCGACTTACCAAAACTATTCCTTTACGTAGCCTCGCCTGCCTGACTTAGAGAAGAAAGCAATAATTTCACAGGCATTTTGAGGTGTCTTTTGAGTTCTTTTTGTTGAAAAGATGTTTTGGGGAAAAGGGCAAAAAACTTTTTTTTTTAACATGTCCCCTGGGAAAAAAAATCCAAAACAGTGGCATCTGAGTAGGACTATGAAAAGTATACCTTTTCCAAAAATGAAGTTGGAAAAAATGTCTTTACAAATAATATAATTTAAAAAAAATAGGCAAGAGGCTCTTCTTGGCGGTTTTGATAAGCAAGGTGTAGATTTTACATTTTGTCCTTGCCTCCCAACGACAGTGGATAAACAAAATAAAATACCATCTACTCATGGAATGTTGTGTGTTAGTCAGTCTGAAAGCCACCTTAATTTTTATATAACTGTATTTTAGCTCTTCCTTTGACAGGGCAGGCCTTGTTCTGAACTGTCCACTTTTGATTGTTTAACACTGACAACGCATGCGCTGCACCTTCCTTCGT